TTGTTATCGATATTTTTATCGTTTTTGCTATCGATATTATAATCGACTTTGTTACCGATATTTTTATCGATTTTGTTGTCGATATTTTTATCGATATTTTTATTGGTTTTGTTACCAATATTTTTATCGATTTTTCTATTGATATTGTTATCAATAACCATACCACGTATTCTACGTTTAAATATAGCGGCTGTATCTCCGATACAGCCTGCAGACCAAGACGAAGGCGCTGGACTGTTCCTTTTTTTCTGGCGCACAGTGGGAGATATCGCGAAAAGCTGGCCATATTTAGTAAAAATTAACCTAGAGACTTCAAATCTGCAACACAAGCTTCTTTAGTGAATATTAGTAAAAACATGTTTTATAAACAAAATCCGCCTACAAATACACCAATTTCCATATAACGGAATTTTTTAAAAACTCAAAGCGATATATTTGGGAAGTTCTAACAAAGAAACAAAAGGTGATAGAACCTTCCTTTTACGCTTAAATTAAAACTCGAATAGGGACTGAACATGCCATCCCTGCATCTTGACCCAAAGGTCACTTCCAGTAATTTATTGATCAGCAAAAACTGAATTTAATTGATTATAAATTATCATCAGTTTAAGGTGCAGGGACGGTGTTTTCAGGGACAGTAGTCGAGAGTTCTAGCTTTAATTTAAGCCTAAGTGCAAGGTTCTATCGCCTTTTGTTTATTTGCTAGAGCCTGGACCTGATGGGGGCTTTGTACTTACGGATTCGTAATCAACCCAAAAGAGTCTATTAAAAACAGCTTTAACATTTGCCGCACCAAAATCAGTGTTGCCCTGTGTAAGCTTTCCACACAATACAATGAGCACTGTTATTACTTTATCGCGCTATTCAATCGTGAGTTACAATAGAATTTGGACGAATTTGGTTACTTTCTTTTTGAATATTTTGAAGTACGTTGTTTTTTGCTGTTATCTTCAAAGTGCAGAATAGCCCGATCTCGCGCGATCACAACTTCTTCAACAATCAACAGCTTATACAATTAATTGTTAGATACATTTACTTGTTCCAAAATATTAGAATTAATGACTTTTTGTGATTTCGTTTCATCCAAAAAGTGTTGACCTTCTTCGGTGCAAAATGTGTTAGATGTTACAATGAACCCTGTAAAAGGGCACGTTCTTGCTGTCTTGTCCTTGTCTAGCTTACGCATTTCATAATAAATATTGTCGTTTTCAACAACCATCTGATTTGCGGGGTAACCATCTCCCCTGACAAAGCTTCAAAAGGCAGAGACTGAGAATTTTTTGCCTCACAAGAGTGTTACATTTTAAGAAACGAACACAAAATTGGCTCACCCTGTTCCTTTAAAAAAGGGGCAATGAAAAGGTGAGATTTTTTGGTAGAAACGAGATACCATTATATCTGTGTTCGTATGGAAAATTAGCTTATGTCGAAAGGCCGGCTTTAGTGTAATGCGACATTCCCTTTATTTTTTAAACGACAAGGAATTTTTTGATGAGACCTAAAAAGAATATTGACTTGCTAGTATTCGAACTATTTCTTGCACGTTTATTTGCTAAAAGTTGTTTAACGGCTTAGCGCTCGTAAGTCATTCGCAATCGAATGCTGCGAATGCCGATTTATACTAAAGCCAGCCTTTCGACATAAGCTACTTTTCCATACGAACACAGATATTATTTAAGATACCGTCAGAAACCCTCTCTATCTCGCAGAAAATAATTAAGTGCTTTAATTTCGATTTTAACATCGAATTTCCGAAGCACAGTTTAAGAGCCAATGAGAAAAGCAGCAGAAACTTTAGTGAAAAGAGCAAGTATAGTGAAGAATATACAAAAACAGGGTGTCTTATACCTTTGTTCACTACACAATGGACCTTCCTCTTGGCAAATTACCATGTTTTGCAACAGTCGGAGAACTTTTATTTTTGGAAAATTGGCCTGCTTTTTCGTCATTTCTCCCACTGTGTGATGGTGCTACATTTTCTCCCATACACATACGTTTTTTTCCTTTTTTACGAGGAGGAAGCATCAAAAGCCTATATCCCGTCAGTTTGGGACTGTACCCCGAACTAAACCTCCTACCGTCTGGTACCGTTTCCGCCCCCGGTGCTAGCGTAAATTATTGCGTCGGGAAGCGGTGTGAGCACTAATCTCAAAGTCAGTTCAGTCCCGATGCAGTAAGTGAAGTTGCATCTACTTGACCCGCTCACGTATTTGTTTACATGAACACAACCCCTGTCGGATCAGCTAACCCCCACACAACATCTACTCACAATTGAATGTATTTAATACGTAAATGAGAACCTGTCCTGTCCTAAGTTTCTGCTTCTTCTGAGATCATCTTCCCTCAACCGCTTGTTTATGCGGGCAATCATGTTTGCAATGATAGGTTTATTCTTTCAGCGTTGAAGCATTGGCAGCTGAGGAACACATGGCAAGCGTCTTCGTTAACGTTGCAGACTGGTCACAGACAGGGTTGCCGTTGTGCGCTAAAGGAGCAATTTGACCTTTTTTAAGCATCAATACCCTTTGGCCCGACTTTTTGAAAAATTGGATTTTTTCACCCTTTTCCAAAATTAAATGCGACTTTTCCCTCTTTTCAGAGTTTTTTTTTAGGAAATCTTGACAGAACCATGCTATTACAAAATATTTCTCCCTGTAAGTGCGCAAAAATGCATCACTTAAAACTTTTAAAGGAAATGCAATTCTTCTCCTTGCAGAAACTAGATTTATGTGTTGTTTGCAACCCTTTTTTGTGCAAAGCTTATCCCGCTATTTTCTTTTTAAATTCAACTGACTTATGTTTTTACTAGTAAAGAAAAGCAAAAATAATATGGTGACCCTTTTCTTCGTCAATGACCCCTTTTTTGCGACCTTCTGAAAATTCTCGACGGTAACACCGGTCACAGAGGTGAGATGTCGTTTCCGAACCGATAAAAAAATCCGAAAATAGCTCCGATAAACACCGCGTCCTGTCATACACATACATATGAACGTACATCAATTAGTCTGTTTCAATAGCAGTCCGGTTTACAGGATTTAGTCAGAACTTACAGGAAGTCGTTCCTATTGACATAAAACCTGTAAGTGGGAACACTTTTGAGAGAGTAACTGAGCAACTGTTCCTAGTCAGGTTCATGAAAAGTGTCAAACGGTCAGCTGATTTGCATGTGTAAACAAAAACAGAAAGCGGTGTAAGCAAAGAACCTAATATTAAAAAAAATAAATAAAATGGAAGTAAACAACGAAATATTTGAATATGTATAGATTTTAGTAATTAGTTAGCGATATTTCAGCCAAATCAGTGTTGTACAAATGACATGTAAACAAACCGACTGACGTTTTTACAGGAAATTGTGCTTTTTGCGTTCCCGTGCACTTCCGCATCTGTTCTCCTGTTCCTCTCACTTGAAGAGAGTAAAATTGTAGTTTGACAGTTCCACAGGTTTTTGTCCGTAGTTCAAAAGAACAGACTAAATATGTATGTATT